GTGAACGTTCACATGTATGCAGTGGCATGGGGATTGCATCCTATAAATGCTGCAGCCCTTTGTGCATGAATCACCCGTATCTGCCGTTGTCTCTGATGATGGGTTCGAGCAGGAATCCGAAATGGCAGACTAATGAAGCTCTTGGCCCAGCGATCGTGTCTCCTTCTTCATGATAATGGTCATGTCTATCAGATTATGGTGAAGGTAGGTGAGCGGAGGGCTTTGTTAATGCGGCTGTGTGACATCCGGCAAATTCGGTTCTCGCTCAGACGGCTGGATGAGGGGGGGGGGTAGTTGTCACGATTGTTATTGGACAATGAGAGGTCACTGCGTGTGAGATGTCGTCTAAGTGGACGCCGGGCAGGTGGGGTGAGTGGCGTGTGTGGACCTGAGTTTCGAGCACACCACCCATTGTGGTCCAGCGAGCCGAGGGGGGCTGCACGTTCTTGGGTCGCTCTCTGTTAACCCAGATCGCCTAACCTTTGAGGCCGGATTGATTATAGTTGGACATGGGTGCCCAACCAGGACACGGAAGCTGTGTTTATAGTATGGGCAGGTGTGTTGGAGTTGGTCAGTGTTGGGAGCGGCCTACAACATAGTGTCTATCCTGGTGCACTGTGCGCCACAGTGTCCTACAAGACCAATGCGAGCTCCGAACATGTGTCTTGGTCCTACTCCGGGTGTGTGCTGCAACAATGCGCCTCTGCCTGACGCCTGCTTACACTGGATGACATTACGGACAAGGGTAAGGGAGACTGGCGTGGTCGTTTCTGGTTTGTTAGCCCTCGTCAGCCAGCCATACCGACCCCGAGGTGTGCAGCATCTGGGGTTCAGTGGCTAGGACGTTGAGCTTCTAATCAACAGGTCGCGGGATCGAGCCCCAGGAGATGTACACCTTGGGGTTGGCAATGGCTGTCTGACGATGGCTAGTAAGCCGGAAATGGTCATTCTAGTCTTCCTTGTCTTTGTTGGTAATGCTATTCTGCCTATATTACGTGCCGCTACTCGGCTGCTGGTCGGGCTCGAGAGAGAGTCTCAAGGCACAACGAGGCGAGTGAGTTCCGTAACGCGATCGATGAGCGCCCCTCTACCATTGCGTACTTACCCGTACGCACCGCTGCGCGGTCGCTGACCGAAATTCTCAAAAATCTTGCACGCTGTTCCTATCGCGCCTGGCCACTCGATGAGACTGAGAGCCTCTGTCTGATATTCAGCTAATCACAGCTGTCCAAAACGTCCAATCAATTCCCAGGCTGACGTAGACATACCCTCATTCACGACAAGGGACCTGCGCCTCTTGCCCGGCTACCAACTCGCCCTGGCATATTCATCGATCTGTACGGCATGCAGTTTGTGTACTACTGGCGTGTAGATCTTCTCCCTCCCACACCGGGCCTAACTTGAAGGTCGTAGTGGTTTAAGTCAACCCATGGCTTTAGCTGCCGCGACGTATGCGCCAACAACGAGGACACGGAGAGAAGGGCTTGGCGCTGGTAGCGCAACGGTATAGAGAAGGACCCCACTTAACTGTCGGTAGACTGTGGATCGTGCCATACGTGATTTATGGTAAAGGGAATTTTATGGGTTGGGCAGCACGCTAGACAGTAAGCTGACAAAGTGAAAGAAAACATAAAAAGTGCCTGAATTTATGCCGAAAGTCTTCTCTTATGGTATTGTACGACAAAGGAAATGAGAGTACTAATTAAACAATAAAAAATAAACTTCACAAAATAACGGATTTTGAGCCAAGGTGTGACGCCGTGGGAAGTAATCATTGTTGGCAGTGTAGTTTCTGCAACAGCCAGCAAATGTATGCCAAGATAAAACCCCACATGACATAATCCACAGTCTACTGACAGTTAAGTGAGGTCCTTCTCTATACCGTTGCCTTCCTCGGTATTCTAGACCTGCGCTCTTGCTGCTTCTCTCTGTCCTCCTGAACTTTCTTGCCTCTAAGGTCGCGGATTCATTCTTTACGACTGTCTGCCACGCCCAACAACCATGCGCGACAATTTTAGATCTACTGGTTGGTTCTGAGGCATCTGATTGAGGCCTCTAGGGTTGTCCCTTTAGGGTTGTCTTTGTCGTCCTCGGTTGCGAGGGTTTCGGTAGAAGCTCATCAATCATCCCAGTGGCATCTCAGAGGTGTTATGCATGCGAATTTGGTCCACAATCAGGAGATTAGGGACTGATTCCTGCTACTTGACCTTCAGAATCCTTTGAAGGAAGCTGGGCTACCTTTGTCGACTCTGAGGGACCTTCCAGGTTTCAGCCCTGTAGTACGACGTCTGTGGGCGCATTCAGCTTGGTACTGAAGAAGGTGTGCTGCGGTTTCAGACTGAGTATCTCTGATTGCCAGGTCGCCAGTTACCCGTTGATTTTGATGTTTCTGGATCTCGTGCTCAGTCGGTAATTAAACGTTACCGCATCAGTGCGACGACGGCCTTAGCGGTCGATGGTAGTTTCACGAATCCGCTAGTTCGTATCACTGCTGCTGTATCGGTGAATTCATAAGCCACGAAGCTTTCCACTATACCAGGAGTCTTTGTACACTGGAGCTTACGAACAGCCGCGTCCAAGGGACTTGCCCGGGGGTCTGTCTTAAAAATGGAGTTGGGAATCGAATAACAAAGTTTCTCGGGTTGATTAAAAAAGTTACTCAGTAGCCGAAAACAGCTATGAGTTGTCCCCAGGGGGCGTATCACCTATAGCACTGTCACTGAAGTCACCTAAGCCTTGAGGCTGGCTAACAGCGTTGTTTTCTGCACCATATCGTCAGTAAAACGGAGTATTTGGCAGACCGGGAGCGTGCGACCGTGACAATGGAGGGCGGGCGACGTTCCGACCCAAACTTACGGACCGGGGGTTCGACCGACTCAGACGACGACGTCTTTCGTGTCACATGGAGTGGGCGTAGTAACGGTGACTTGCGCGTGAATTGGTCTACTGTGAGGCAGACCTCCGTAGCATCTTCCCTCACCCACCTTGCTCAAAAGGCAAAGCGATGTCAGGGTGCTCGGAAATGCGAACGAGCGAAGTAGCTGACAAAAGCTAAACAGTACGTCTACGCGTGCCACACGCGACCTGGTTTTCAATTCAGGTGCGACGGGTTGCATAAATGGCGCCTTGGGTTTAAGAGACGAGACAACGCCATAAGGACTAAGTTAAGAAGGAGCCCGACCCTCAGTCCTGAGACGGGCCGAGTAATCGCGTCGTGGTAGATTCGCGAGCGTCAGATTAAGGAATGTGCCGATATGTCGTGAGGACTGATGCCCAAGTGTCCAGTTTTTCAACCAGCTGGTGCTGCCGACGTGGCGCGAAATAGTTATGAGAGCGCCCTGACTCTGCACAGCCTGATAAACGCGTGCCGTGAGTCATTCCGATCTCCGTTCGGGTCCAGCGCATCTGCAGCGCGGCCTGTTCCGAGGGTTGACCAGGGGTATTTATGTGGGATTGGATAACACATCCTACAAGTGCGATGAATTTACGGCGACTAACGACTCAAAGACCGCCTATCAAGCGAGGTGGCGAGGGGAGACCTTGATTATGCAATAGCATATCGACTGTATCATATGAATACTGCAGCTCCCTGTGCATGAATTATCCGTATCTGATGCTATATCTGAGGGTGGATCCGAGTATGACTCCGAAACTTTAGGCGAATGAGGTGGTTGTTTCAGCATCAAGTGACTGTTGACTTGATTGACGCAATTGACGCCTTTGCTCCGTTTTACTGTTCTCTTTGCAGTCTTTGCATCACCAAGCTGCGTTAACGAAAATGGTCGGCAATTTGTACCTTACGGTCTCCTCTAGGGTCTGCGTCTCTCCAGGTTTTAATGGCCTATCGTCCCTGCGCGGACTCTATGTGGACGAGTCTGACCTCCTGCGGAGTTGTGGTATAAACTCCCTTCTGCGACACAGCAGTTCGGCCATCCTTACCGACAATGTCCGCCCTGCGCGCGAACTAGTTTATAATGACGGTGGGCTGGCGCCGCATTTACCGCACTCAATCGTCCCTCACCCCCCGCCCCCCCCTTGGGTCCGGCGTCAACGCAGAGTGAAGAAGACCGGAGGCGGGGTCGAGCGCAGGTGACTCGCGCGACGTGAGCCGGGACGTAGGCAGGCCATACCCAGGGTATGGTATGGATGCGCAACCCGTAGTGGTCCAATTCGGGGTCCATATTAAAACTCTGAGCCTTTGACGA